CATGATAACAAAGAATGAATTTTCTTTGTAAATGTTTTATATGTGGAAATGTTCAAACAAATCAGTGATCCTTATCACTTTTAATTGCAGTAGGTAAAATGTTTCAAGACTTGAAAGATTTACTTATCATCCTGATGTTATATCTGTAATAATTTTTGTAAGGTGTTTGTCATTGATGTTAATTTTCAAATTTGATTTTACTTGTCTGTTAGTCTTCACTATTTTAACAGAAGCTTTTGACAGGAATCATCATCAACAAATATTTAATACAATTGGTTTCATAAATTGGATAGGAAAGAAAGACTTAACTATGATCCTTAATTAGAAAAGATATTTCCAAATGAAAGATTAATTTTTAGAATTTGGTGAGGCACATTGGAATGAAATTTTGTAAGATGATTCTTCTCTTAAAAATAATGAAAATTAATTCTTTTCATTTTAATCGTGAAAAAAATCAAACAGCTGAAGGCTAGTTTTATTTAATTCAATGTCAATAAAATGAAAATCTTGTACATTTTTTAACATTAAGTTTTTCATGAAAGTATTTCTCTCTCTTTCTTACACACACACACACACACACACACACACACACACTAGGTTTAGTAATAAGTAATTTCCTTTTTTGGAAACAACTGTTATAATAGATGTATCATCCTAACTACTAACAATATAGAAATTATTTATAACTCCACCATATATAGATGTATTTCACAGGTGATTTGTTCAGCTTTAAAATAACTTCTCTCTCTTAACCCAATCTTACCACAAATGAAAAGTTTATTTTTATTCTTTTCCTGTCATTCAATAGTTTTCTTTTTTCTTCGCTCATTATTGTTTCAAGTTTGAATAAATTGCTTTATCATTTTTTTCCCTGCTTTAAGCTTTTGCCGGTCATGTTATAGATTCCACACTTGAGCTAACCACACTCTCTTACTGAAAGACAATTATGATGATGTGCAAATAGAATTAGCAACATCTTCAGTTATTGATTTACTTTCTCTTACTAGAGTGATGCATTAAAAATCCAAACCACATTTCTGATTGGTTTATTTTATTGTAAAATTGAAATGTAATTCTCTACAAAGATTTAAAACAGACATATATATATATATATATATATATATATATATATATACACACACACACACACACACACACACACACACACACAGATGTTTAAATGTGCATTATCATACATTTCAGAATTATGTTTGACTTTTCTCTGTAATAATAATTGACCTACAAATTGTATTAAATACTATCACTTCAAGGTCAGAGCTACAAGTCCCTTCACTGCACCAAGAATTGTTTAGCACATTAAAGAAAAAAATCGATTATGTATTCCGTTATATTAAGCAAATAATTGTATGTGAAAACAAATACCAAATGTATGTTTTAAATAGTTTTAATTTAAATTTAAGTTGGTCATTTAAACTTTAATAAATTCAGGATTGTTTAACATATATCTTTTTCTTCTTCAGTGTGTTGTGTCTCTTCAGGATGTTAATAATCATGGTTCTTCACCATTTCCCCTCCATTGTAGCTCTTAATAAATTTTGTATATTACCTCTCCTAAGCCTTGCTCCACCATCCATTTACTCAAGCTCACTAGGTAGGTTATGCATTGTTTTCCTCTACCCTTCTTCAATTTCTCCTGTGCTTCATTTGTGATTAGCATTTGCTAACATATAGGAGGACTGATATTACATAACTGTTCAGTACTCTTTTCTTTGTTTCCAATGAAATTCTGTTTCTTTGCTTAGCCTTTTGGAAGGCATTTTTGCTATTCCAATGTGCTTTCGGATATCTGTGTCACACTTTCTGTCCTATGTTAAAACATTTCTCAGATATTTAAATTGTTAAACTTGTTTGATTTTGATATCTCTAATTTGTAATTTATATGTTGGCCTCTTGTTGTTAACAACGATGCATTCTGTCTTCTTGCAATTGATGTTTAGGCCTTTCTTCTCACTTCAATACCTTCTGTAGGAGTTCTTGTGATTGTGGCCATCAATAATGAATCCTTTTAGGACTTGTAATTATCTCAGAATCACTTCACTGTATAGGTTGAATAAGTCCATTGAGAAGACACATCCTTGTCTTATGCCCCTTTCTATTTTTGTATATTTACTGAATTCATTTTCTATCCATATGCAGGCAATTTTCCGCCAGTATAGGCTCTGGATCCTTCCCAAATATGTCACGGTTTGCATAGCATTTCCAACAGTTCTTTGTGATGTACTTGATCAAACACTTTTACATAATCTATAAAACACAGGTACATGTTCTTCTACATTTGTATTGTTCTTTCTGATATTCTTAATATAAATATGGCATTTCCTGTTCCAGTGTCTTTAACAAACCCACACTGTTTTTGTCCAATCTGATTCTTCTGAGTTCTCTATCCATCAGAATTCAGATAAGTTTTATTATATGGCTTCTTAGTTTATGAAGTTTACATTTGTCTGCATCTGGCTTCTTAGACAGTACTATGAAAATGGATGTAATAAGTTTAAAAAACTTGAGTAAAATGAATATTAATTTTCCTTCCATCAATATATTCTGAAATTATGATTGGATAATTTTCATGGATTATGTCATATGAAAAGAAACTCACACTTTTCAAAGAAATGATTCTTCTTTATTTTTTTTTGTGATGTCAAAGAATTTTTCAATGTTAATTTTTAATCTGAAACTATTAAAATGAAAAAATATGAAGTTTCTTGTTGAACAGGAATTAGTTACAAATACTGTTATTTATTTTATTTTTTTTTAAATTAAAATAGAGAACTTTCTCAGGCAACTTGTATTTAAATTCTTTTCTTTTTTGTTTAATATTGTTCAGAAACTGGTTATATTTATGAGTGGATAAGTCTTGCCAAGTACTTTCATATATTACTGTTTTTATAGTTGGAAACTTACATTTACAAAAAGAAAGTAAATGAGTGAATATCTACAGTGCTAAGTTTCTGGCTTATCCAAAAATAGACTTGCAAAGCTTTTAAAAAAATTTGAATGCAAAAAAATATTTTGTATATAAAGTAAAACTTAGATTTGAATGAATTTTATAGTAAATTTGAATGTCAAAAAGTTTTTTTAAAATGATCTTCTAAAAACCAGTTTTGAGTCAGTTACTGTGTCAGCTTGTTGATACCTTCTGTAAAGAACCTTGCTTTGAAGAAAATCTGATGATAATGGGCCAAAACACTGCCATAAATGTTGTCTTTTCAAGGTTTTTTTTTCTATGACATTTAGGATGTGAAAGAAGAATAGGAAATTATAATATAGGACATATATTTATTTATTTAGCTTAGTCTGGTACAAGGCCACAAATGTGAAGCACTCCATAAATTGTTTTCTCAACTAGTTTGTCAGTCTCATTGTATAAAGTGAATACTAGAAAAACTTTCATGTTCTATATGAAGTATTAATGAAAGGCATTTCAGTTGAGCAAATTATATGCCTTTTTGCTATGAAGTATTGTCAATTGTTTTCTAACTTAATTTATTACACTTGGTAATAAAGTTTTTTTGGACAATGCAGAATTGTTATTCAATAAAGCCTTCTTTTTTAAAATTAAATAAAAGTTAAAAATAGTGTGATGTTGGATTGAGAAGTAATTCTATAGAGGCAGATAACCTGATTGAGGAATGTTAGTGTTTTATAGTTTTCAAGGTTATGGGCAAATAATTGTAGCATTCTGGTTGATATGGTACTTGTTGATATGCTCTCCCATTTGTATATTATTATATATTATCATCATCTGAGTATAAAAGATTGTATCTGGCAGTTTTATGATGAAATATAGAGAGGGGATGGACTCAGAGCACCAGGATTGTTAAAAACTATTCTTAAGCAGAAGTTGTATAAAACACTAAGGAATTACTCACCTGATAACTTATGCAAACCTCATTAATATTATGTAATAAACTTGTTTTGTTTGTTGCAGCATCTGGATTCTACTTGTTTGTTTCTCAGCATCTGACTCAATGTAAGACTTTAGTTAATCAGGGCTACACACACACAAAAAAAATCTTAATACTGATTTTTGTTAATTTAAATCTATTTTTTTTTTTAAATTTAGGAAATGGATTAGGTCAATATCTTTTCAGTACTCTCTTAGATGTTTGTATATCATTTCTGATTTGCAGTTTGGTAAAGTCTCTTAAAAATATAAATCACATTTTCCCAAACCTAAAATGGCTACTTGTATTTTATATAAGGAACAGATGTCTTTTATATGTGACATGGATAGTTGTTGAATTTAAAAAAAAATTAATCTGTGTACATGTAGGTAATGGAGGTTTCTGATGGTAATCTAACATAATTCTTTGTTCCTGTATTCTTATTCTTATTCTTCTTAGTCAGAAGAGTATTTACTGATTTATTTAAAATAGGACACACCCTTCAATTCAGAAAGCTAGGCTATGAATCAATCCTATTAATAACATTAAGTGAATGGCAAGATGTTTTTAGTAAACTCTTTATACTCATTCCTAATTATATTTTCCTGTCAGTTTTTTTTTTATTTGTGTATGTAAATTGTAAGATTATCAACAAAAAGAACATTCCTGTAAAAATTTAAAGAGAATGAACTGCTTGTCTTTCACTGTGCTCAAGTCATTTTACATTTCTATATTTAAAGTTTATTTTGCTTATTTATAGTGTTTATAAAGAAACCTTTGAAAACATATCTGTTACTGATATGGATTGAATAAAAGTATTTTTAATGTTTTGCTTGTTTATATTTCTATTAAGTCAGCCACATGAATGGTTATAAAATTTAATATTATTACTGAGAAATTGTCTGTTTTAGATTTATGGACAGAAGGTAATGTTTTGAAAGAAGAGTATTTGAATTTTTATTTTATTTTTTCTTAAAAACTTACAAACAAATTTATTGGCCATTTGTATTTTGTGTTCATTTTACTGGAAATGAAAACAAGTTGTCATGAACATGTTAAAAAAATAAATATATCTTAATATATTTTTTTTTCCAGAATTGGAAGTTGAAGAATCTATAATAAATTGGAGTTTGGAATTAACAGATAGATTGAGTAGCCGCTTGTACGCCTTATGGAACCGAACTGCCGGAGACTGCCTTTTGGATTCAGTCTTGCAAGCCACTTGGGGTGTCTTTGATGTAGATAATTCACTACGTAGAGCTCTTGCTGAGAGCCTCAGCGATGGTGCAATGATGTAAGTAGCCACCATATTAAATAAAAATTATGAATTAGCAAAATCATTTGATGGAAAAAATTTTAAACTAGTTATTTTATTTTTTTTAGTTAAATGAAGGCAATTTATTTTTCTTAAATTTCTTGTATTAAGAATAAAGGATTTTTATTTGTTTTCACTTCAATAAAATCAAGGTGAGACATTTGAAAATGAATGAATTTTCATACTAACCTTCATTGCTACCAAAATACAAGGAAACTAAAATTGTTTTCAAGAAAAACTAAAAATTTAGCTATTAATACTTTTCTCATATTTGTATGAATTATAATATGACATTTGTTAGTTACAAGGAAAACATTTTCAAAATATCTTTAAAAACAATTTTAATTGTATTAGTAAGTCATATTGTTATTACTAAAATTATCTACTACAAATTAAGGTTGTGGTTTTATTTTTTTTTTTTTAATCACTCTATTTCTTTTAGAAAATGACAGACTTGGAGCTGCTACCATATTACCATATATCATAATTCATACAGATATGAGAAAAGGGTTAATAGCTAAATTTTTACAAACAGCTCTTCTTGAAAACAATTTTATATTCCTTGTATTTTTGGTAGGATTGAAAATTCATTCATTTTCAAATGTCTCACTTTGATTTTATTCTGGCTTTTGTTTAACTCTTTTGCTGTTTGATAAAAAATAAAATCCTAATCTTTAGTCATTAAAGAAATGTTATTCTTCCTTTCTAACTTCTTCCATACATAATGAACATGGCTGACAGCTAACAAATCTTAACTTTCTTACCCCTCCCCATTTCCAAATTTTATCAAATATCAATAACATATTTTCTTTTCTTTAATTATAAAAGAGGTCTTCATGTGATGCATAAAAATTCAATGCATCAGTCTGTGATTAAGTGAATTTTTAAAAAATTTTTATTATAATTATTGAATTTTTTTTGTTTTTTTTTTTGTTTAGGATTTTAGGATTGTAATAATAGCGTTTCTGAAAGTTAATGAATGTGATGTAATGCTGAAACTTAGAATCTTTTTAAAATCAATATTTTATAGTGTGAGAGTTGCTGTTGTATCAAATGTAGCCTTTGTCTAAAAAAAAAAAAAAAAACGAAAACTAGGAAACAAAACCAAAATAATATTAAATAGGTTAAGAGCCAACCTTATTAAAGGCATAAGTTTTTCTTTCACTTAAAGCAACAACAGTAAGGATCCTAATAACTGAAGTTATTCGCACTACGTCTCTTGATTGTTGCTATTCCGTGTACTTTGGTAATTTTTTTCTTTTGCTTTTGAAGACCTATCAGATTCTAGAATAAATTTGTTTGAATGTTATGTCATGTTACTCTTGGAAAATAAGAGGGGAAAGGAATTAAGTTTCATTACTAAATTCAGGATTAAAAAAAAACAAAAATAAAACAAAACAGTAGGTGCTTTTCTTTTTTTTTTTTTTTCTTATCAAACTACTGTGATTGAACAGCTCTCTCGACTTGGTTTTTGTATTATATTGATTACTCTTCGCTTAGTGAATTTATATCTTGTGTAAGTTTGATATTCAATAAAGTTTTCAATGTTATCATGAAAAGCCAGTGTTAGTTTGAGATTATTGGTTTTTGGAGCGATGAAGAGATTTTGAATTGAAAACAATACACTCTAGCTTGGATTAATAAGTATTTAATAATGTTACAGGATTTTGTTTATTAATTTATATTGGTGTTTCCATTAATCTAACAACTTAAAGGTATTTGACAGAGTTTGGCATAGTGGGTTTTTTTTTTTTTTACAAGTTGAAACGCTATGGTGTCTCTGGCTGAATTTTTTGATTTGATCCAATCTTAACATATGTAATGAAAGTTATGTTGAATGGTTTGCTCTTTTAGATCCTTTCACATTAATGTGGGTTCTCTCAGTTTCCTATACCTGGAACTACTTTGTTACATCTTCATCGATGACCCTCTGCTGTCATCAGTTCTCAGCTTGGTATCTATGGTGATGACTCAACTATTTATTCCTGTCTTAATGGTAAGTCTGATAGGTTTGATAAGGTCAGATTGGTAGCTGATTTAAAAAATAACCTTCAATCTGTTGTTAACTGGTGTAAGAAATGGCTTGTTAATTTTAATGCCTCCAAAATGAAACTGATCTTTTTTAATTGTCTTAGAGAACCTCTTTTGCCTTCTATCAGTATGGCTGATACTAACCTCCAGGAGAGTGACTCATTGAACCTTCTTGGCCTAATGTTTTCTGCTGATATGAAGTAGACTGATTATATTGAATCATTTGCTAGGTCAGCTACTAAGAAAGTTTCTTCATTGTGTTGTTTTAGAGAGTTTTTCTTGCCAGAATACTTTTATAGGTCTACCATTCACCTGTGCATTGAATATTGCTGACACATCTTGTCTAGTGCTTCTGCTGTGTATATCTAGAGATTCTTGACAAAATTCAAAGAAGAATCTGCAATGTCATTGGTCCTGACATATTGGCTTCAGTCACTTCCCCACTGCCATAAATGTAGCTTCACTGTTGTGCCTTTTATATAAGTATTTTCATAGTAACTATCCTGATGAATTTTTCTCTTTGATATCTTAACTTTACAAAGGAAAATTTCATTGGGAACAAAGAAAAGAATACTGAATGTACTATGTAATATTGTTAATCCTATATGGTGGTGAATGCTGGACAATCTCATCACAGATGGATAAAAGACTTGAGGCAACAGAAATGTGGTTCTACAGAAGGATGCTGAGGATACCATGAATTGAACATGTAAGTTTTAGAGAAAATGGAAACAAAAGAGAAAGAAAGTTGAACTAAGAAAAATTGACACTCACAGGACATTGAAGGCAAGAGGGACAGTGGAAAGCACCATATAACCTACATTATTTACATTATACGGACTATTGTCCTCATCTTTGTCGTAATATTTATTACAAGGTTTCGGCTATTGTACACTCTCTGCCGTCTTCAGGTGGTTGGAATGTCGAACTGAACCCTTTATTTTGCTCACTGGGGTAGACTGTTCTAGTTCCATGTGCCATGTCACCTAGTTAATGAGTTTGTGTAAATGGTTGTCGGAACAAGATTAGAAAATCTAGCAAAATAAATTTAAATGCTCTGTCAAGCATCATTTTATGTCCCTTTGATTCCTGTCTTTTTTTTTTTTTTTTTTTTTTTTCCATCTTTGATGATAATGATTTTTCTTAGATTCTTCCATTTTCAGTAACTCTTTGCATCTTAGTGGCTTTATTGCCTTGCTTGGGGGTGAAATGATTGAGAGAGTAAAAAGAGGCAACTTGTCATATATTGTTTTCAAGCAAGAGAAACTTGTCTCTTTTAAAACTAAAACGTCCTATTTTGCTGATCAAATTAGGACATAAAAACCTTCTGTCTTACAGGATTTACTTAGTGTATCATTTTATAAATGCAAGTGAATATGATGGCTGATCAGTTTACCATAATTATCTGGTTCCATAAAGAGATAGATGCTGTTGACCATGTTTGCCGCAGTCTCTGAATATAGAATCCAGTGAAGTCCGTAATCTGTTCAATATCAGAGGTCGGCAGTGAAGATTCAGAGAAAGTAGCAGTTCTTAAGTAATTCTTTAAGTCTTTGATATCAGGTTGGCAGTGCAGACAATTTGGGAGAAAAAAAATGGCTGCCTTTATACATGTCGCATTGAATATTTTGAGCTTTTTGATTGGTTAACCCTTCTATTGGTGAACTATAAAATGAGTCAGCTCATTTTGACTGGCTCACTAGTAAAGGATACACAAAAAACTGCAACAGATGCAAATGCAAATTTTGGCTCTACCCAAAAAGAGCTTACTTTGATCTTATGTTAACAGCATAGTAGTATTCACCTCACCCCCCCCACCTAAAAAAAAACACAGTTGTCCATTTTTTTAATGATATTTCAAAGAATTGGCTGCCTTTAACATCTCAAGACGTCTGACAGATTTAAATGAGGAACTACAATTAAGATAAGGAATTTTATGAAAAAGAAATGTTTTAATCAAATAACTTTTAAACTAGTCATCATTATTAATATTTAGACTCTTAACCTGGACTAATTTAGCAACTTGTCCTCTGCTGAAATATTGTATTAGAGAATTGTTAATTACAGCTAGGGTATTTTATAAATTAATGTATCTTCTATCACCTCCCTTCTTTTTGTGTCTGGTCATATAAGATTGTCAAATGAAGTCTACTGTATCATTTTATACACTATGTCCAAAATTGAATGTTATCTGTGATAAATGGATAACATTCATTGGCTAAACAAAGTAACTGACAAAATCTTGAGAAAGATTTACACTTTTCAGTGTCAGTGTTAATAGCAATTCTATTGTCTTAGTCAGGAATATAAATTGCTATAGCAAATAGCAACAGCTGAGTAAAAAAATGTTTCCATTGAAATGTTAAGGAGAAAAGAAAGATTGAAATCTTAAATATAATTTTTTTTTATTAGAGGGAAGTAAACACTTCATCATGTCTCCAAATCAAATTATTCTTTAGAATAAAAAATGGAAGGAGAACAATGTTGGATATATAAGCAGGTTTTTGGCATTAATCAGTTTAATAATTGTGTAGCAATTATTTTAACTATTTACAAGAGGATATTTGCTTATTTGACATTTTATAGTTCAAAGAAAAGTGGCTGTGGCTACAGAAAAATAATAATAATTATTATTATTGCTATTTTCCTATTATTTACTTTTGTGCACTTTGTAGCTAAATTAAATAGAAAAATAAGTGTTTTTAGTTTTTCTATTAATAAGGAAATTGTTAAAATAATCTCCAAAGTGCATGCATATATGTGGCTGAATGACAAGACATGAGAATTTTAAAATCTCTTCTGGTTTAGGCCAAAAACTCTTCAACAGCCTCTTTTGTTTGTGTACTATTTTCATTATTGGCTATAACAAAGGCATAATTTTTGGCTGATGGTCTACTTGACCAGATGTTATTTCAATAAAATCACTTTCCTTTCAATTTGAGTCAGTC